CACAGTGATCATTCCTTAAAAATCATTATTGTTCCAAATAATGGCCTATTTTTGAATTAGACAATTAAACTAAAACAAGTCCTGTGGGTTATAGCCAATAGTCATCCTGGCTGCATGGGAAGCATTGATGCACTTGCTATTACTTGACATTTGCAGCCTCAGGATGCACCTTCAGCTCTTGTTATTGAAAACATGTAGTTCACTATCTTGMCTCAAGGTAATTTTCTTTATTTCAGTGAATTGGTCTGATAGTTCAGTTAAAAGTTAAGGTTGTCTTCTTGGGAAATTATTTAAGCTATTAAAAAGTAGAATTCCTCACTGAGTTTCAAAAGGAAGTTTTTTGATATTAGTTATTCCAGTAGCCCCAGCAGGGCAATCATCAGGAGGTTACTTTAAAGCAAGTACACAGATTTAATGATTTGCAGTTTAGAATGAGGTTTTCCTGTCTTGTCTACGCTGCAAGGCTTTATTGCACAATCCACATAGCTAATAGCAGGTAGAGCATCAAAGGCTGACCAAACAGCAACGAAGCACAGTGCAGAGTGTGTAAAAACTCTTTCCCACCTTTGGGTTCTTGTGCCTGCAGGACATACAGGATGAAATGTCTATTAGATTTATGAGCAGAGAGGAGAGATTTGAGGGTTTGCATATTAGTTGCCCCTGTAAGTTTYTGTCAAATTTTGTTATGTCTGTGTAGAGAAAGTCAGAAATGTATGTACCACGGCTGCTTTCCTTGATGTACTCTTAGACTGCAGGTAAGTGCTTTTAGATTCACAGAGAATAATGCAGACTTCTAAAAGGGATAAAGTAGACTTTAATAACAATAAGAACAATGCAATTTGGAGTTCTGTATCAAAAGAAAGTAGCCAATATCCATTCATTCCTGACCTTCTCTAAGCAAAGAGACAACATCAGAGTCTCAAGAAGTTGACCTACTTGAAGATAAAAGAACCAAAGTGTCCTTTAGCTGCAAATAGAGACCTGGACAGGCTGGAGAGCTGGGCAGAGAGGAACCTTATGAGGTTCAACAAGGACAAGTGCAGGGTCCTGCACTTGGGGAGGAATAATCCCAGGCACCAGGACAGATTAGGGGTCGAYCTGCTGSAGAACAGCTCTACGGAGAGGGACCTGGGAGTCCTGGTTGTCAAGTTAATCATGAGTCAACAGTGTGCCCACGTGGCCACTGAAGGCCAAAAAGGCCAATGGGCTCCCAGCCTGCATCAAAAGGAGTGCTGCCAGGAGGTTGAGGGAGGGGATCCTGCCCCTCTCCTCAGCTCTGGYGAGGCCGCACCTGGAGTACTGGGTGCAGTTCTGGGCTCCCCAGTATAAGAGGGACGTGGAGCTTCTAGATGGGGTCCAGCAGAAGGCAACCAAGATGATTATGGGGTTGAAGCATCTATCATAGGAGGAAAGACTGAGTTGGGCCTGTTTTCCCTGGAGAAGAGAAGTTTGAGAGGGGATCTTATCAACATGTACAAATACCTGAGAGGAGCATGTACAGAGGAAGGGGACAAATGATAGGACACTATCTCAGTGGTTGACAGTGATAGGACAAGGAACAAGGGATATAAGTTGAAACATAGGAAGTTCTGTCTTCATATGAGGAAGAATTTCTTCGCTATGAGGGTGACAGAGCCCTGGAACTGGCTGCCCAAGGAGGTTGTGGAGTCTCCTTCTCTGGAGATCTTTAAAACTTGCTTGGGTGCCACCCTGTAACMCMTKGTCTAGGTGTCCCTGCTAGAGCAGGGGGGTTGGACTAGATGATCTCCAGAGGTCCCTTCCAACCTTAACCATTCTGTGATATCTTAATTTAYTATAACTATTAAAAATACAGCTAATACATGCTATACAGGAAAATGCTTGCCTTTTTACAGCAATCCCAACATTCCAACATTTATACTTTCACTTTGGGCATTGTGTTTCAGCAGAGGTGATTTCCTCCTCCTAATAAGTATTGTCATCAGTATTCATAGTCTCTGAGCTGCTTCTCCCTAATCACCATTACAATACTGTAGGACAGCCAGCTAATTCTCCTCTTATGTCTGCTTTACACCAGTAATTCTATTGAACCTAATTGTTCTCTTAATATATTGGTATATAATCTGTCAGTGCATTCCTCTAAATTATAAAACAGCACAGAGCATAGAATACATAAATTCTTATGCACAGCTGCTCCTCCTATGATTGAGTCTCCCTTTCAAACTGTGAGAAWTTTTGACTGTAATCTAGACAATAAAATAGGTAAGTGAATAAATGGCGGAATCCTATAATTCTTCTAGCATTTCATGTTCTTTATATATCTCTTTGACTTCTATGARTTTTTGTTGTGAATTTGCAGTGCCCTGTAAAATTAAGCCAAGTCACAGTTCCCATATATATCTATCTGGAAAGATGTTCTGAAAAAGAAGGGATGTCTTGGCAAGTTTTTATTTAGGATAAAGGAAAAATGAAAAGTTATATTGTAATAAAAATAGATTAAGAGCAGGGAAAGGAAGAGGGGAAGAGAAAAMTGGAGGAGACAGAAGAGTAAGAAGAGAGGTTTTACAGGTTACAATGTTACAGTTGCAAGATTAGCAATGAAATTAAAAAAGGAAAACAGTTAAAATACATTTAAAAGGGTAAGAAGATTATTATAATTTGATTAGATAACCCTCAAGGAAGTAGCACAGCTTTGTGGAGAAGCCTTCATCCAGGGATCAAGGGATGTGATTTATTCATTGGATGATCTCTGACTACAGTGTAACTGTCCCCATCCAAGTTAGCCCCTCTTTTTTAATCACTGGAGAGGAATGGAAATCTTGTGGGCACAGTCACCACCGTCTAAAGCGAACCTTTAAAACAGTAGAAAAAAAMCTCATATATTAAAATTAATTAATTAATATTGATTATAAAAGGAGGACACAATGACTCAATCATCCATACAATCTGCTTTACAGATGTCTAGAATTACTCCTGCCCCTGGAAGATATCAGATCAGTTTCTAAATATGCTGGCACTTTTCCATTTCCACTTTCCATTTAATCTCTGCCTCAATTTCTGTCTGCAAAACAGGTGAAATGCTTCATAATTTTCTCCAGCTCTCAGGTTATTAGGTTTTATCAGTGAACCAGGTTAGGGAACTGATGTAGTTTAAAACTAAACCAGGCGAATTTATGTTTTATTAATCCACATCCATTCCCTGATCCCATTTCCACACAGAGAAAAATGCTGGGGATTGAAAATGGAGTGAAAGTAACATGCTGCCTATGACCATCAAACAAGGCTCAATACACAGTGATAGTGCATGTAACAGTGCTTCATACTTGCAGTGGCAGCAAGCTCTTTCATTAAAGCTCTGTCCTTGCATGTGAAACAAACAGTGCTTCTGGAACCACTATCCAGTTTCCCCAGATCCATGTTCTTCACTGGTGCAATACTCATGTATATGCCCACTGGCATATCCACCTTTTTCCTATTAGCTGTCTCAGAGTGATGTATTTAGCCAGAGAAAGTTTTGTGTTCTAGATTTCTCTTATCAAGTACGACCCTCAGATTTTTATTTATTCTTGACTTTACAGCTTTTGTCGCTTCACTCATTTTATAGCATTCTTCAGAGAGAATTGGAGTGAAATTTATTTTACTGAATTAATATATTCTCTATGAAATCTTAAGCTATAGTCAGAACACCCACTATATTCAATGGTTTTGTTTTTCTGCTTTCTGTTATTAGAAGATTAGCTATATTTTTTCAACTCCTAATGCACTCATTATGTACCTATTTGAGARTCATATGTAAATACCTTTGCAGATTAATCCCTCTGCACTCCTAGTTTCTTCAGTCTTTGGTAGTTTGTAACAGGRCAGATTTGTCTACCTATTTCAAACCATCAATGGTGCAAATATCCCATTCTAGAAAGGCAAGGAGAAGCCATGATGTGATGTATTAGAGCAAGTAATGTAGTCAGACAAAAAAAAGCGGGGAAAAAAAAAAGAAAAAATAATTCAAACACATAAATTCTTTGTATCTGAAATGTAAGCAACAAACTTTAAGCWATGTACAGAAATTGTTCTCCACTCAATTTTGTTATGATTAATCACTGTGACTATTTGAAGGAAAAGGATAGTTAACACCTATGAAGCAGAGGAACACTTGTGAGTAAAGACAGGTGATAAGGTTGTTAGACTCTACTGAGCAGAGACAAAGAGTCAGAGGGACAGGTTATTATCCATTGCAGAGCCACATCAGTGAACAGTAGAGATACTGTGAAAAAGATTCTATAATGTGTGATTAAGCTGCCTTCTTACAGAGTCCTTGATTTTATGAATTTTAGTATTCAGCAGAATAGTGAGCTTTATTCCCAGGCTCAYCCTCTGATAGTCTACAGATACTAGAATTGATCATTACTATTTGGACATGGAGAAATGTTGACAGAAACAAGCTCTTGATTTTTAGTGGTGAGACCTTCCAAACTGTGCAGACTGCTTCTTGTTCCTGTATTGAGTCTGTAAATGACCTTCCATGTTATGGTAGGCATGCACATGCTTCACCTCTCAGAAAGAGCCCTTACCACCTGGTTCACATCTTGAAAGAGGAAAGTTAAAGTCACTCACATTTAAAATAAGGGCAAGGCAGGCAGAGCCTGAGGGAGGAAAGGGGTTTGTGTAGCTTGGTTACAGAATTTGCTGAATGAGAGTAGCTTCATGTTTGTAGCCATGGAGACACCTAGAAGTACCAAGACTGGAAAGCTAAAAATTTATTAGTCAAGAATGACTCCTGAGAGCCCCTGTCTGCTGCTATCCAAATAGTAAACATTTCTGCAAAGACCTATAGCTAAAGGAATTCCAGGAGAATGAAAAGATTTACTTAACTTTTATTTTATGTGAGCTCTACTGATGCTTTCAAAACACCAAGATGTATTTCATATGCAGTGTGTTTGTGAGGCTTAAAAATTAGCAGCTCAGTGAATTATTGTCTGTATCTTACTGCAATATCAATTTTCATTTTCTTTGCTTTACTACAGGTGATTATATAGTCATGACTATATACTTTGATTTAAGTAGAAGAATGGGATACTTCACTATCCAAACATACATTCCCTGTATATTAACAGTTGTTCTTTCCTGGGTATCCTTTTGGATTAAAAAAGATGCCACTCCAGCAAGAACAGCATTAGGTAAGCTTTTTTATAATTCCCTTTCAGTTTTCTTTGTGTAGTCCCTACACTGCCTTTTGAAAATGTCAGCTTCCTTTCAAAAAGGCCACTAGATACATACTTTAGATTAATGCTCCCACATCTTGCAAGCCCAACTCTACTTGTCACAGAAGACTTTGGTATTCTTTCTTTAACACGGTAATTAAAAGTGAACTACAATGACCCTTTGAAATGACACTGCCAACTATTTTGCATAATATTCTAGAATTAATGGCTATCTTCTTGCACTGACTATAATATTTTAAAGACATTTTTGAAAAAATAAATGCATTGCACTTTGCCTTCCTTTCTCAAACTTTCTTTTTTGTTATGTGCTATGTATACTAAAAAGTGCACATTAAGTCTTTCAAAGTGCTTTGAGCTTGTTCATTTCATCTCCACACTAATTGTATAAATAATCACATGTTTTTCAATACATTGTAAGATTTTTGCTGGTAAAGGTTTTTTAGCAGGTTATTTATTTCAGGACCAGTGAATGGATCCTTGTACTTTAGGATAAGTTCAATAATTTTGACCATTTATTCTGCTGTCTATAGGAAAATCTGTAGGTTTTGCCAACATCAAGGGCAACAAAACACATGATTGTAGATATTCCTCAGAACTGAAGGGAAAACAATATTTTAATCTAGACCGTGTGGCCAGAGTTGCAAATATGAACAAGTTCAGAAACCTACTGCCCAAGAAGGAGAACCTGAGTTAAAGTTAATGTGTCTGCTGTCAAGTGTAGAGGTAACCATTCCCAGATATTCACTGCTTTTTCCTACTAGACTTTGAGACCTTCAGTTGACTGGCTGAACTCTCTAAGTCTTTTCAGTCATAAGACCAAACTAAGAAAGATTGAACTGACCTGCCTGACTTTTCAGAATTGAAATTAGATAGGGAGCTTTCATAAAAGCAACTGAGTCACCATTGTTTGAGAGGGTGATATTGCTACACATTGAAGGATGAAGACTGAGAACAGGCTGCAACATTCTCAGAAGATGAGTAAACACACTCTGCATCTGGCACAGTATTCTTGGGTCCTGCAATGTGCCAAAGGCCTTCATCCACAAAATGAGAGGCCATTCTTTTGTGCAAATCCTTTTTTTTTGTCTTCCACAACTCTAAGTAGCTGCTCAAGGGTCACCACCATTCCTTATCCCATTTTCACCCAAATAAATAAATGTCTTTACCGGAAATGACTGTTAATTCCTTTGTGAATTCTTTTCTATGAGCTTTCTTTCAAATACTGTGTCAAGGTGCTGCACTTAATCTCAGGAGGAAGATACCTTATTCAACAATGCAGCTTTTAGTGGGTTGTGCAAAATAATGTGTCATTTCTCTCCATCCCTCTCCTACACTAATAAATCAGAGCCACCACTATTTCTGAAGGTTCTCTGGTTTTAACATAAGCCCTCTGATGGCATTGAAGGGAAAAGGAAAAATAGAGTGCAAAAAAGGTTAGAAGCCCTTTCACTTTCAATTAGATTTTACCTGGTAATTCCCTTGGACTCTTTCGGGACTTTTAAAAGTTAGACCTCGCTTTATAAATCCTTTGCTCATGTATTGTCCAACTACATGGTTATCTATTCAGGGTACACCAGAGCCTAGGTTAAAAACATTTTTCTTTGTAAGACTGCTAATGAAAATCAATAGTTGAATAACTTCCAGCTGAATGCTAGCAGAATATGTTACCAAAAATAATAAGTGTAGCTCCCTCACTAGACATAGCTTTGCTTCAACAATGACACTATATGCCAGCCATCTGTGCATCTGTGTCTACGTTTTAGACTAGCTAATATTGGTCTATATTTTACAGATAATTTCACATTGATCCCCATTCCACATCTGGTCAGCACAAAACCATGAACTGCTRGATTTCATAGGATCCTTAAGGTTGGAAGGAACCTCCAGAGGTCATCTAGTCCAAGCCCCCTGCACACACAGGGTCACCTAGCGCGTATAGCACAGGGCTGCGTCCAAGTGGGTTTTGAAGATCTCCAGAGAAGSAGACTCTCTGAGCAGCCTGTTCCAGGGCTCTGTCACCCTCACTGTTAAGAATTTTTTCCTTAAGTTCCTGTGRAACTTCCGATGCTTCAGTTTGAAGCCATTTCCTCTAGTCCTATCACTGTCCATCACCGAAAAGAGGCTGGCCCCCTCCTCCTCTCTCCCGCCCTTGAGGTATTTATACACGCTGATCAGGTYCCCCCTCAGCCTYCTCTTCTCCAGGCTGAACAGACCCAGCTCTCTCAGCCTTTGCTCATGTGGYAGATGTTCCGGGCCCCTGATCATCCTCGTAGCCCTGCGCTGGACTCTCTCCAGCAGCTCCACATCCCTCTTGTACTGGGGAGCCCAGAACTGGACACAGTCTCCAGATGTGGCCTCACCAGGGCTGAGTAGAGGGTGACGATCACCTCCCTTGACCTGCTGGAGACGCTYTTCTTAATGCACCCCAGGATCCCGTTGGCCTTCTTGGCCACCAGGGCACACTGCTGCCTCATGGTCATCTTGTCATCCACCATGATGCCCAGGTCCCTCTCTGCGTTGGACTTCTCCAACATGTCCACCCCTAATCTGTACTGGTGTCCGGGGTTATTCCTCCCCAAGTGCAAGACCTTGCACTTGCCCTTAAATTTCCTCCCAGAGTTTTTCAAGATTAAGAGATACAGCGCTACTTCTGCTGTCCATTTTTTTTCCTGATATAAGATGTAACAGACCCTTAATTCTTTTCATTTGCTTTGATGAACTTTGAACAGAACAACTGTACTCCAAATCCAAATTAGACTTTCCAAATACCCTTCCACGTCAGACAAATAAGCATCAGGGCATCACATAGGCCCTGTTTTTTACAATGCTCTTCTGAGAAAGGAATATTTAGTGCTTATCCCCAGTTTGTGAGTGCCAAAGTTCCTTTATATTCCTGCTGAGGCAACACAACAGACCCCAGGACCAGACCCCCTCCACTTCCAGGATAGTGTAGGGAAAGCTCCACAGAGCAGCTGGGCGGATACCCACTCCTGGCTGTGTATACTTGCCACTAGTGGCAATAAAATCAAACAATTGGCATTAAATGTGATTTTCTGCTTGACACTTTTGTTTCTAATTATGTGGCTCAGTGGAGATAAGATTGGCTGTGCTCTACTACGGGTTTGGGGGTTTTTTTGTTTGTTTTTTTTTTTTTTTAACCAGGAGTGTGAAACTCCGTGTATGTGAGGAGAGTAACACAGCATCCATTTGGATTATCTTTCATAATGCTTCGTTTTCATCAGTAAAGTGTAAAGAGGGAAAAAGCATCAAATGGCTTGCATTACTAAGTTTCCAGAAGCAGCATCAATACATTTGTCCCTTGGTGAGATTCCCCACATGACTCCTCTCAGCTTCCCAATTAATTGGACACAGAACTTTTTTAGAGCGCTAGTCACAGCAATGCCAGACGGAACTTAAGAGAATCAATGTTTATATTGAGGTGACGAGTTAGAAGTAGGAATGTAGAAGTGAGCTATCACAAGAAGCTTYAATGGATAGAGTGACTAACTCCTAAAAATCTGGTGAAGAATTAAAATACTGCATGAAAAATCTTATGAATAAAGTCAAATGACTGGAGAATATATGTTGCTCACTCCTTCTTGTGCACAACCAGAGCCCTATTGCTCCCAAATTGACAATAGCCTGTTGACTCTTGGGGAAGAGGAAGCAGATGCTCCTCATGTACAGCAGGTCTGCCCATATAAAGCATGCAGTAAATCTGTCTGAACACCACCACCCGCATCCACATTTGGACAGTGGCACATGGCAAACTTGTGAGTAATATTGCCAAAGGCAAACCACTGAAATCGTCTTGTTAATTAGCTAAAATGAATTGTAGGCTCAGTGCACCAAATCTGCCTCTAGTCTAACTTCATTAATATAAAGGAATAGCATCAGGGAAACACTTCACTCTCTGAAATTAATTTCATATGCTATTGGCAACYACTCAGGGTTATATGAAGGACAGGATTTTACTCCTTTCTGAATAAATCTAAGGAATAAGCTATTTCTGTGCTAGAGAAACTAAATGCAATCAGGGGTATTTTGACTGGAAAAGAAAAGTCGGAACCGTAATCATCCTTTCAGCAGCACTGTCTAGAGGCATCAAAGTGCTCTTTAAAAGTTGGCACCATATTTCCTTTTTTTTACCTGCTGTTCGAGGGGCTGAGGCCCAGACTGATAATGTGATTCACTCTGGGCCACCTGAAGAGTAGATCAGAAACTGAAAATACAATACAGTCTGTTGGATGAGAACTGTGTTTTATCATCCCAGATTACAGTGCCTTCCATTCAGACAGGAAAATATATATCTCTGCTGTTTCTACTTGCCTCTGATAATGAAAATAATCTTCTTCCAAGCTCATAGTCAAGAGCAGCTGGTAAGTGTCTGAAGAAATGTTATGACTTGGAAAATAATAGGGTGTTTTCCTYGAAGATGAAGGGAAATAAGCTAAACTGAAGTTTTCAGCCACTTCCTACTACTTTTTGAAATAGATATAACATGTTATATGTCTGGGCAGTTAGTATATAGGAAATTCAAACTTCAGTAGATAAATACAGCGCATGTTAAGCCCAACAATGTGTTGTTGTAAAAGAAGACATAGATGATGGTTAACAGAAGGTGAACTTCGCTTTCGTTGCAAAAAAATAAAAAAGGGGGCAAAAAAAAAAAAAAAAAAGCACTCAGGAAAATGGAGAGATGAAATGCCTATTCATAGTGATACCAGAGGCAAAGGCAGTACATTTTCACCCACCACAATATCCCATCAGCACGATAATACCCTTATCTGGAGATAGTACTCTTAGGAATATTCTAATAACTAAGCCTCCCTGAAAGAATTTTTAACACTATTCCTGTTATTTCATTTTGCATACTGTTTTCAGCTAAGAATTTTTCAGAGGGTAATAATTGTAAACAACTGTTTAAGCCAAAGGTTAAAACATGCATCACAAATCCCTGGATCATTTGGTCTCCTGGACAGTCCTTTTTTATTAATGAAGAAGTATATTTGGTATGGAATAGCTCAGAGAAAATAAATGTCACAAACTGGTGTTTATACATAAACACACACTGTCACTTACACCAATGCAGCTAAATTTTTTGAAGACAGATTACTTCAAAACTGTCTTTGTCTGATACTAAAATCCTGTTGAAATAACAACAGAATGCTTTCTAAAGCACTGGAAATTTCAAAAACTGATACAAAATTCTCTTCAAGTTACTAGTCGTTTTGGAATGATTTAGAATTTCATTTGGTAAGGTTTATTGCATTTTAATCCAGCCAACAAACTGCATTTTCTCAAATGGTAGATAATTTTTTTATAATAGAGTTTCATATCATCAAAAGATTTTGTATAAATTATAGAAGTCTGTTTGTTTTGCCTTTAGATTTTTCCATCTGTGTTTTCACCTGCAGAAATGCAGGTGAAATATTCTTGTAAAAATATTCCTTCCTCAGGCCAGGGAATCCACCTTTGTCTGTTATTTCAATGAAAAAAACAGTTAAGTTAATGCTACAGTTAGCTAATGCTGAGTTCAAATATGAATAGGAAGTTCCACATGAAATCTGCACATGAAATCCACGTGATGCTGCACATTTCACACTTCTTACTACCRTTGCTTTAGTCTTTTGATTATTGGGATGTTGGGTTTTTTGACTTTTTTTTTTCACTTTCATTTCTRGAGAATCATTTGGATAGCTGAGGAATAAAATTATTTGTCATTTTTTGTAAAAGAAGGTCTAGACCTTGGCAATACTTTTCTAACTGGCTCTTCTGGAAGATAATTGAATGGGGAGAGTTATTCTTGTGGATGACTGTAGTTCTTATCAAATATTACAGATCAAAGGTGGGCATTCTTTCATAAAGAGAAGATAATCAAAAGTAATCCACAGATACTTCTTGGTCTCCAGAGAGTGGTTTGAGAGAAGTAGTTTCACTATAAGGCATAATTTCAAACACCATATGTCATTTCAAACACTGAGTACCATTGCAAAATATCAGTTTAATTATAAAAAGAAAAATTACCTTGTAAGTATGTTGTTTTTAGAGTAGGTTCTCTCCTGAGACTTGAATGAGTTTTATATTCTTGACCAAGGAAGAGTTTCTTTCTTTCTTTTTTTTTTTTCCCCCACTACAGAAAGGTTAGCAGTTCACAAAAAAATGATTAAAAACATCAATCCAAAACTGGGAAAGAAAAGAGTYTGGCTCCTCAGGAATGAATACAAATGACATATACTACTCTTGCAGATKAATAACAGACACTCCATAGACTTCCTTCTAGCACTGGTTACATTCTTGCAGGATCTTTCACACCAAGTAATTCATTAGCAGATTAATTATTACTAAATGAACTTACTACAAGGAGTAGAAAATAAACTAATAGAGAAGATAAATTTAGCATTTATCAACAAGTAGATTCATGATTACTAAATCAATCTAGGAAAATAATGCTTTTAATACATTAAAAGGGGTATGTCTATAAAGAATCTCCTGAAATGTATATGAGTCCATTTTTCATCATTCAGAAGGAAAGAGTAGAGTGACCCTTCCGGTGAGGCAGCATCATGAAAATATAATGCAAACACATTGTCAAAATCCATGCTTAGGAACTTTGCAGCCAAATGTGTCTTTTTTCCTTTTTTTTTTTTTTTTCTTCCATCTTTCCTGCTTTTACTTTTTATTTAAAAATGTCTTCTTTCTCTCCTCCTTTTTCATTCTTATATATAATCTAAGTGGGATCGGAAGAAGGAAGAGGTGGCAGAAAAAATACTGAGAACCATGGGAATTTCAGTTTTACAAAGGCAAATGGATTTTTTTGTAGAAATTTTTGTTTTCAAGATAGTACTATCTCTACTGATGCCATTTTTCATTATTTTTATGCTATCAGATGAAAATAATGAGTTTCTTATAATTACCAGTGTAGACTTTGGCCCTTTGTTTTGTGTGTATTTGTTTCCAAAGAGGGCACTGGGCACAATTAAATCCAGTTTCTCTCTGCAGGTATTACCACAGTCTTGACAATGACAACTTTGAGCACCATTGCAAGAAAGTCATTACCCCGTGTCTCCTATGTCACCGCTATGGATCTGTTTGTCACTGTGTGYTTTCTATTTGTCTTTGCTGCTCTGATGGAGTATGCAACCCTCAACTACTACTCGAGCTGCAGGAAACCAAACTGTGCTAAGAAGAAAAAGTCGGTAGGAGGGAATCTTTTTTATTATTTATTTATTTTTTGGCATGTGTATTGCACACAGCAATGCTTTTATAAAGTTTGTAATCCCATGGTGCTCATCTCCACCTAGCTCTTCCCAGTTGTTGGTGTACTCTGCCCCTGAAAGCACATGGGAAATAATGACCTATAGTAAGAGTAGTTGTTTACCTGTAAGGTGAGGTCTGTTGCTTACCATGAAGCACAATCTTGCTTATGTTTCTTTCCAGTTCTGTCCTGGTAATTATGAAGGAAGGAGATTGCCACAGAAACAGGTTTCATTCACAGCTTGTTCTAAAATTATGCAAGCACATATTAATGTGTATTCAAATGCATCTGCTATCTTGTGGCTTATCTGGTCTAGAAATACAAATTTTGCAAATGGGATTTCCATCTCTCCACTATCAACCAGCAGTTTTTTTTTTTTTTTGAACTATGCATAAATGCTCCCAAGTACGAAAATTTAGAAGGTTACTTACAAAAAGTTTATACATAGCTGAACATCTGTACACAGAGATGCTTCCAGGAGTAAGACACGCTCACACACACACACACACACACACAAGCAGTTTAAATAAAAAAAAAAAAAAAAAAAGATTTTTTCATGTATAAACAATTATGTGCTGTCCTTCATAACTGACTGGGAGAATCATGTGTGTTATCATGAGATGGTTGGGGAATGAAGAGAAAAAAAAATCCAGAAAAAAAGAATTGGGCAAGAAAAGAGTCAGGAAGTGGATTGGTGGATTGTCCATTCAAAATTAGGAGTGTATTCGAGATAGCTGGAATAGTTTGAGTCCAGCTACAGCTGGAGATGTAGGATGCCAGTTTGCACAGTGGTGGACTACCAAGTCAAATAGAAGAAATGTCAAGAAGAGAATTAAAGACAGAGAGAAAACTGAACTGGACTGAATGAAAAATTAATAGATTAAAAGATTATGAATTAGAGACAGCTCAAAACTTAAAACCATAAGCTTAATCAATGAAAGCTCCATTAAACCTCCAAAAAATCTATTTGCAGAAGTGCATCGCGCAGAAAAGGCAAATGAGAATACTGATGACAAATTTTTGTCAAAATGAACTATCTAATAATCAAACTAAAATTGCTGTCTTGTATAGAAAGACCAAATGAAAAAAGAAGAAAAAATCATGAGTTTATTTGCGATTAGGATGTATTTCCAGATATGTGAATGAATATGAATAAAAGCTTACAACACTGATGAGATTAAGTTAACACAAGAATAGTGGATGACTTAGCTAATAAAAATTAAATGGAATTAAYAAGGTGAATAAAGATATACACTGGACAGAAGCTGGGTGAACATTTTTTGGGAGTTTCATGTAGTTTTAAATTTAAAAAAAATATTGCTAAATGTATACAATACTGAGTATGAAAGCATCTTATAAACAAACATGTTTAGAAGTTTATTTTAGGAAATGCTATCGAACATTGGGTGCTTATGAAGCATTTAGCATCTTTTCTTCTGAATAATTCTTTTGTTATCTTCATTTAAGCTACCTGATGTCAGTTTTGGTCATGTGATGGTAAGTAGAATATTTTATTCAGTGACACCCATGGAGGCATAAATGTATGGTTGACATTTACTTGCATTAATTCATGACGAAGTTGAAATGCCATGTTACACTTTATTCTGACTTCTCTATAAATACTGCTTTCCTTTTTTTTTTTGTTAAAAGGTCAGTTTGTTTTTTTGCTATGCCAGAGGAACATAGCTGCTTCTTATTATAAGGACTTATCAAATGATTTGGGAGGGAGAAGGGTCAAGTGTAGAATATTATGTTATTTTTATCTCAGAAATTTGGCATGTCTCAATTACACAATAATGCAGTTTTTCATTGCATATTAAAATAACATTATAAACAGAAGTTGTATCATATACTGATTTCTAATTGAGTTTTGTAGAAAATAATTAATTTAAGCATATTTGCAAAACCTTTAGCAAACTTTCAGGTGGATTTTCAAACAATTTAGGCACCCAAGTGTAATGCAGTTCGTATTACTATATCCACAAATGTAATAAATTCTATTCCCCAAACTTCCAGACAACTATTAAATAATGCATAGCTGTAATAAAGCAATCTTGAAACTGTGTACACAGCTGTGTCTCTAAACTGTGTGAAACCTGAAACTAGAATCCACATAAAAATGAAGGCGGCTGGTTAATCAGGAGATTGGATAATCTGTTTCTCAGATGATGAGCTGCAAATAAGAACTTGGATAAAGCCGCATTTGCATTTCTTGCTTTGTATTTGCTCAAGTTCAGCATTTACAATTGCTAACTGAATGTTACTAGCTTATCTTTTTAAAATAATGCTATTCACTGCTTTTTTTAAAATGTATTTTATGATGTATTTAAAAAGCTCACATAGCATTGAAAGTATGCGTCTTGACAACAAATGATTTACAGCAAGCATCGCATTTATACACTTTTTATACGCCTTTTCTTTGGTAGACTTTTCTGTTTTGTTAATGTCACATTGATGGAGTAGTAGTTCCTCTTTTAAATAAAAAATAAGAAAAAAGAATCATAATATAGGTAAAAGGACACCAGGGCTTAACTCTCCAMCTTTTGCTCAGAAATTACCTGCAGCCTTTACAACTTTTTCTCCCACTCTTTTTGCAGAATCATGCAATGGTCAAGGTTCCTATTGTTAAATCCAAGCAGGACCTTGATCTGTACATCAGCAATTCCTATGTTCAAATTGTGGCAGAAGCTACATAAAATAAACAGCATCTCTGCCTTTCAGGATATTGCTTATCTTTGCCAGCCCTTAGTCACTCCACCCTAAAAGGKGAAGCTTCAGTAAACCAGGTTTAGGATTTAATGCAATGACATTCCAATCTTGTTGATTTTTGTCCTAGAAAGCACTCCTATCCTGAATTGTTATATTTTTTCTTGTTTTAACATTGGATCTGGAATGTCCTGTTCAAAGCATGTAGGAATTGTCTTGCCTTGGCAGATCATTCAAGTGCTACTGAGATAGTAGCCACTGTACTTCTACCATCCTTGTCCTAAACCTATCTCAGCAAGACTCRTTAGATGCAATGTCCAAATTCAGCTGGTATCTAGTTATTTTAAGACCACACTGTAAAACAGTGATACCAGTTACCTATAATTACTATTAAACTCTGAAGCAATCAAGCTTTGTGTACAAACGAGAGAAAACACCACGAGGGCACAGTTTGTGCCATCTAATCTCAGAGATAAGATTGTTCATGAATAGTAGATYTGTTATATCTCCTCCTGAGCTGGGATCCATTTGCATTCCATAATACAGTGCTCCTGAGAGATTTTAACCATCTAGTTATCTTGAGATGAATTATGCCCTAGAATTACTTGACTGGACTTGTTCAGATGTAGCATTTGTGCTGTAGATATCAGCATTCAAGAAGAAGGATCCCAGCTCAAGCACTTAGCTCAGAGACCAAGCATGTTTAATGAATTGGGTAATACTGTGGTGTCCCAAACCAAAGCACTTGTAGAAACAGGTCAGCATCAGAAAAAAAGAAGTTTACCATGAGTCACACTAACCATATCACTTATTTGTTTCACAGACAGAGTAAAAGTTTTCATGTGCCCCCACAGCTTTAACAGAAAATGTTCTATATAATAAGCCTGAATACATTAAGACATGCAGATGATCCCATGTCCTCAGACATGACGTGCTTSTTAGTGTGCTGTTAGGTGTGCTCATGCAGGCAGTTGTCAATGCACAGAGCAATCACGAGCCCATGAAGTGCAACAATGTCAGCATTGTTACTCATGCTGACAGAGACGGAGTTTGCTTTGTCAGTCATGCAGGCAGGCAGAGAAGCTGATGGAGATATCCTAGTGACTCCAGAGGAAGTGGTATTTGTGGAGATGAAGCAAGCTGTTTGTTGGAAGACTACTGTGGTAAAACACCTTTCATGAAGAGGAAGATATGTGAGAGAAGAGCTGACAGAGTGTAAATAGGGAGTTCACTGAAGAATTTCAGGTGGATTTCCTTTCCCAAAGCAGGAAGAAGGTCCTTGGTCATAAGCTAGCAGGGCTCATTGACAAGGCTTTAAACTAGATTTCATGAGGGAGGAGGGAATCATCAGATAAGGTGGTGGTAAGGAAGGGGAAAGCCTGCCTTGCCACTCACACCAGCCTAACTCCAGGGCCAGCAAAGGATGTCCAAAGCCTGGAGAAGGAAAAGAGCRAAATACGAGATGTGTGTGCGATTGTAGGATCAYGATCTCATTGCAATTACTGAGATATTGGGGGACAGCTCTGARAACTGCAATGTGGTTGTGAATRGCTTTAGGCTTTTTAGGAAGTCCAGGCTACGAAGACAAGGTGGTGGATTTGTTCTTTACATGAAACAGCAACTAGAGCGTAGAGAGCTTACCATAGCAAAGGATGAAGTCATGGGTTGAGAGCCTGTGGGTGAGGATTAAAGGGCAGGCCAAACGGGCAGCCACTGTGTTGCTTGTTTACTACAGGCCACCTGATGAGGAAGAGGAAGTGGATGAGGCCATCTACAGGTGCTCTGGGGACATATTTTCATTATTTTTATCACACCATTCTTAAATGTAGTAGCTTCAAGTGTTTAAAACAAGTTGCAAATAACATTCTGACAGTTAAGTGAAGCCTTAAGTATGAAAAATGATCACTAACAAATATATGTCTTGTACCCAAATAGAAAATATATCTAGAATTAATTTAACTTGCCACTCCACAATCTCTGCAGAAAATTCATCTAAAAMAAAAAAGTGCCTTTTGGGGAAAGAAATATGCTCTCGAAATCTGGAATTCTTATATTCAGTTATTCCCAGCTCATCTCTCATATCTTCTATTATTTTCCTCATGATTACTATATGTGCGTCTGCAYCATCCATGCAAGTTTAGCATTTATTGGTTTCTTTTTCTCTCCACAGAATTATTCTGTCCTTGATATGAGACCACCAACTACAGTCATCACATTGAACAATGCCATGTATTGGCAAGAATTTGAAGAGGCATGTGTCTACGAATGCCTAGATGGGAAAGACTGCCAGAGCTTTTTCTGTTGTTACGAAGAATGTAAATCGGGCTCCTGGAGGAGAGGACGAATTCATATAGACATCTTAGAACTCGACTCTTACTCTAGGGTCTTTTTTCCTACATCCTTCCTGCTGTTTAACCTGGTCTACTGGGTTGGATACCTCTATCTTTAAATTTTACCTGTAGTGGTGAAGACTACYGTGTTTTCACGCTGCTTAGGGATGGTGAAAGTGCAGAAAGAGTGAAGGACATGGGCAGTTTCATCTCAAATTATAGAGGCTATGTTAACCTTCATCATCAGAGAAACTGATGCAGAATTTTAATATGTAATTGCCTGAAAAAGGAAAACATGGAAAAATTCTCTCCTTACTGCTATTCATTTTAAGGAAAAGATTCTTACCAAATTGAGCTGAATTTGTAGTATAAGTGATCGTTTATGAATAATTCTTGTATATTAGAATCTTTACTACTTTACTCCCTTGACAGAAGCTATCCACAATTCAGGCAAAGGTTAAATATGTATTTTTTTTTCCTTCCCACAGTCTCCCTGAGGCTCAGAGCAGCATACRTGGGCATTGGCAAATTAGCCAAGCCCCGCCATTTGTATTTAAACTTACTTGAGACTCCTAGGTTCTGGGAATTCTTTTCTTGGTGATYTCCTTGCAATGAAGAAACCATTAAAAAACAGAAAAAAATGTCTCCAGTGGGACTGAGACATGAGAGTTGCTTCCTGTAAAGGTCTGAGATTTACAGAATTACCAAATTACCTACACATATTGGTTTTAATTTGAGGTGAAAAGGCTGAGTTATAAGAATGCTAATTTTTTATATAAAAATTTGCCTATCTCTGAAGCAGCTGTGGGTATAACTTCTACAGCTTTTCAAGCCTTTAACTGTCTTTTTTAAATGACTGGTTAAACAGAGGATGGTCATTGATTTCTAAAGTATTCTGCTTGAAGCAGGACATGATTCCTGCTTGTTTGTGTAATTGTAGCAGACCATAGCTGACAGAGCAAAAGCAAGATTCAGTATACAATAACACTAGGAATTGTGGGTTTCTTCAGTTATCAGTTTACTGCAAAGTGCACTCATGTATTCTTACTTATTTCTTTGTAAGTTATTTTACAAAATTTTAAAAAARAGTGTGCCAAAGTACGTTTTTATTCCTTCCATAAATGTTGCGGTCCATATTCATGGCAGATGTTTCACAGGCCTGAGGTGTTGGCTGGACACTTTTGACTTAAATATTGGATCGCAGGAACTCAATTGTTTGCCTTAGATTAAACATGGAATAATTCCTCAATATCAAAAAAATGTTCTTTTCATTTTTTTTTCCTGAACTAGCAACTGCAGTTTAGTCCGGAAAGCCATTTTGTATTTTTCAAAAGCTTTACCACTAAATTCCTAAACTATTAATTTTTCAATACTTAGTGTTACAGTGTTAAAATATACTACATTTTTTTTACAGATTCCCTCAATAATTGTTATCAAGCAAACGAATCAGACTCAAAACAGTGGCAAATAGTTCAAATAGAGACAATAGGCTCTTGGATGACAAATAGTTACAAATGATAAAACATAAAGCACACTTCTGCTAAATTCTGCTTTTTTTTTCTCTGTCTGGAAGACCTGATCATGTTTTTCTTATCTAAATGAAAATGTATGTCTCTTCCACACAGTGTTTGAGAAAAATGAATAATAGTTGTGATTGAGGAGCAATTATCTTTCCTCAGAAAGAAAATCCTGCAAACATGCAAAGACAAATGCAATGACGATTTTAAAGGAACAGTAATGTAGTCATATTCTTCAAAACATCACTGTCTATCATTGCTGTTTCTCTGTGCTTCCAGAATATTTTCAACTTAAAAAAAAAAAAATCTAACACAAAAGGTAACTGCACTTTTTAATAATATTTTCTTCTCTTTTTCAATTGTCTGTAGTACCAGAGAAAGAAAGCTGGGTTTAGGTGGGAGAGGAGAACCACTTCTCCAAGGACTGACAAAATTCAAAATAGAAGCACAGAGAAGAAATCACGTATTCTTGGGTAGGAACAAAACCTTTAGCAAAAGCTGCCCAATGACTTCTAAACTAACTTTAGATTTCAAAATACATATTGAAGCTTTTGCTTAGTAACAAATTACTCTGTAAAACTCCTGGGCTGAAATTATGAATTAGTCAGCTTTAGTAGCCACTTTCAGCCATATGTTGCAAAAATAGTAGTAATATTTGAAGCCTATACAAAAGAATGGAACCAGTTATCCTTTAGGGGACTGATTCTGCAAACCCTTTGCACAATTAGTTTTGCTGAAAGAATCCAAACAGGTGAGGCATAAGCAAATGGTTTCCACCATTAGATCTTACATAACGTGATACTTATTTAGCAATGGCATACTGCAGTGAACATACTGGGAATAACTGTGGAAGTGGAATATTCGATTTTTAAATGATGTGCACATGATGTTCTCAAACTTCTGCTCACAGCTACCRACTTCAGCTTAAAGCACACAGTACTGTGAGATCCTTTTCTGGAAGACTGATTCCAATAAGCCTGTTTATTTACCTCTATTTTTGAGTACAGTCATATACACATTGAAAGTATGATACTTTACTCTTGATGCCTGTGACCAAAACAGAATGTACAACATATCATTGTTTCTGAAACATCTGAAATATCCTTGTCTCTGATGCAACAAAGGAAATGTTCTACTTTAAAGTATATTCTACTTTAGGGTACAGTACAACAAATTGATTTGTGTGCAAGGTGAGCAGTTATGAATTGCCGGATTCCAGAAAGCATTACCTTAGTTATTCTTGGTTGCTTTTGGCTTACTTTCTCTGCTACATTGCTCTGTGTAGCAATCAGGGAAAATAACCTTTCCAGGCTTTAGACAGTCCTTAGATCAGACACAGATCTGTGTTCCTGACCGTTCTGTAGTATTAAGGAATATGCTCATTAGTGTCCAGATATTCTTTTGATTCCCTTGTGAATTGAAATAATATTAAAAAAGAAAAAAGCACTGCAGAGTCCTGTCAGAAATGTGGGAACCACTTTTTAGCATTTTAGAACATTTTATTGTAAGATAACTTCATATTTACGACTTGAATTTTCTTGGCTACTTCTTTATTTGCAATTTCATAATTGTTTTTATCTTTCCAAGGAAGAATAGGGAATGGAAGAAAAGTTAAATATAAATGGCTCATTGAGATGAGTATATCCAACTCATTTGTGTATGAATGTAGGATCACAAAATCACTTATCTGCTCATTATATTSTTTCCTTGTTGAAATTACAGAAAAGATTATGTTTTTTTACCTTATTTTCCTACACAATAATCCATTGTTTTTCCCATCAAGTGGCTGTGAAATCCATCTTCTTATCTATCTCCTTCTCTTCAGTCAAGAGCTGAGGAACAGTGTTTTCCTGCTTAATGACATCATTTTCAAGGCAATTAAGAGTATATAAATATATTGTTCTGTTTAATTTTATGAATTCTGTTTGAATTCTGTTTAATTCATAATATGTCTTTTTATGCCCTTGATATCCTGAGAACTCCTTCTTGTTAGCAGTTTCTTTAGGAAAAAATACCAGAAAATAGCCCTTATTCCAACTATGCAAATCCAAATATGCAAAAACTACCACTCAGTTTATTCTGTCTACAAATCTAGCAGTAATGTGGAGATGAAATGCTCCATACAATCTTAGTGTAGCTTTCTAATCAAGAAGTATGGATATAGATCAAAATATCTAAGACGCTCTGATAACATTTTTCCCCTTCAGAGGTTCCTTTCCTCCTTCACCAAATCTTACTTGTATATTGGGCCAATAAAAATAACTGAAATTGCAGCAGGAACAATTCAAAACTATCTCACAGAGGAGATGAAATGCCAAGCTAAAAGAGAAATTTATTTTTTTTACTGGACAGTTCTTATCTGTCCTATTCTTCTTCAGGTCTTTTTAACAGCAACACACAACTAACTCCAAATCATCCACCTGGTGCTTTGCTCATTCATCAGTTGTAGCAGCAGTGACATATGAGCTGCTAGTTGATAGTAAATTKTATTTCTGGAGCTGGAAGCATCCTGCCAAATAATGCAGATAGCTATCTTGAATGCTTTTACAGTCCTAATGAATCTTGGAGCCCAGTACCTCATAGATTTATTACAACTTACCTTAATTCCTTTAAGACCTAGARAAAGATGTTTATCCAGTTTTTGCACCAAATCTCACCATACACCTAGAAAGACATTTGGTTCACACTCCAAATGACCAGAGGCTGGGCAGGTCTGGAAATGCTACACTGGAGTGGTTTCATGAGAAGGGAGACTGTAAGTGTTAGACATTTTACTAGCCTTGAGATCTAAAAAGTTGGTGTTACTTTTTAAGCTGCAGAACAAGGAACTCACTACAGTGTGTAAAGGCTCTCCATTATATATTGAGCTTGTGTCATTGACTATACGATTTTCCAGGCAAAAACGAAAGCCATATCCCATAATCTAAGCTGAATACATGATTAAAGTATTTTTTTCAAGGTACATTCATTTGTCTTCAGTGAAATCCTTGTGCTTCTTCTACTGGTGCATTTGCTGATGTTGAAAGATATATTCCCAGTCTGAATGTTAGAAAGAGTGACAGTTACCAGGTTGGAGTTCTTCTTAAGCCATCTTCAAAATACCCACTGGACTATTCTGGTTGCCATTTCTTTTTCTTTCTTTCTCTTTCTTTCTTTCT